AGGTAACAACTACCAAGAGAAGTGTTCCAGTTAGAGTGGTTACTCCGTGTTTGTGCAACAAAGTGTTGGCATAGGTAGCCACCCTGGAGCCTGAAAATGGGCGACTCCTTGCTCCTTCATTGGGTGTTTCTTACGTTGTCACGGGGTCAGTCTTATCTGGAAGCTGCAGTAACCAGCTGGAGTCATGTCTTTATCCAAACTGGCCATAAAAATGCAGACGTGTTGTGTATGGGGAAGTGTCTGCAAAGCACAGACCCACAGAGCCCCCCTTGGTAAGGCAGGTGGGAATGGGGTGGGTATTCCCGGGGGAGATGGGCTGGGGCTGCACTGCAGGGGAGGGGACCTGGCCGGGCTCAGGGCGGGTGAGGAAGTTTTCACTTGACACAGAAGAAAGCAACCCATCAGCGAGAGTGCAGAGTATGAGGAAACAGGCTGGACTCAGCACCCTGGGGGACCTGCCCTTAATCACTGGCACTGATTATGGGAAAAAAAAGTTTGTTTGTTTGTTTTGTGAAAAAGAGTAGTTGTGATCTTAAGCATGCAAAGAAACGCTGGCTGTTTAATAAGCGCTTTGCCTACTGCCACAAGCAATGTCGTTTTGTCACTGTGATTTATTTCAGAACAAGGTGTGTTAGCGATTCAGTCTGCTGCACCTTAATCAGGTGAGGAATGCCAACTTCATCTGTTGTAAAAAAAGTGGCATAAACCAGCTTCGTCTCCCTCTGTCTGACCTGCTGTCAGCTTTTCTCTTTCCAAGCTGTCTTTCACAAACAGTAGACTATGCTTGAATGTAACATAGCAAAAATTCAGGAAAGCTGAGGACCACACACCATAACAATTACAAACCCCCTTTTAATAAGTATTCTTTCCAAAAACTTGGAGAGCTTTTCTATGACAATCTTACTAAATACAGTTCAGAAACAAAAAATGCAATACCTACCTTCAATGTAAATAATTAAATGAAGCAAGTTTAAAGGCCAATCCCAAAAAAACTTCAGAAGAAAGCTCAATATTCACAGCTACACAATGATACCTGAGGACACCTGAGGCCATAGCAGTCTCCATTCTTGTCTCCCAACCATCAAGACACACCAATGTGAAATACAGTGTGCAGACCACCTTCTAGTAGGCAGCACAGAGTTCACATGCTTGGCCTCTGGCTCTGACTGCCAAACCAGGCAAGGCAGCAATGACAGAGAGCTGGGGAGAGCTGAACAACAGCTCTGGAGCAGCTGGTAGCTCTGGAAATCCAAAGGCTGGAGGAAAAAGGCTGGAGACAGTGATGAGGAACCAGTGGAAGGGCAGTGAGAATTAAGAAGGTGGGAACAAAGAAGCTTGTTTTAGGAAAGGAAAGTGACCAGTGCCACAGACCACAACTGTCTGCTTGCTCACTGATGTACAGATATTGTCACACTGCCCCATGCCCTGTCTTGTACCCAGCCCACCATCCCCTCAGCAGCTGAGCAAGCCAGTTAGTTCTTCAAGCCATGCCCAAATGTAATCTTTCCACCCTAAAGTCCACCAAAACATGTTCTGCCCCATCAAGCCCAATCTGAAAAACACAACTTACAGCTTGTACACCAGCAAGTCCCAGTGACTGCCCCCATCTCTGTGCCTGGATTCCAGCAAAAACATTAGAAACAGTCATGTATAGGGCTGGGGCTGCCAGGGTGAGCAGCTCTGGCACTCAGAGTACAGAACTGTAAGTAAGGAGCATTGTATCTTCATCAGACACTGAAGTCAGGGTTAGAGGCTGGGGCACCAGGGACTAAAGAGCACCACCTCTGCTTGCTCTTCAGGACAAGCCTGAGTGCTGGTGCTCAGTAAGGCACAATGCTTCTGCCAGTGATTCAAGGAATGCTGGCTGATAGTTTATCCTTAAGGCTGGAATCAGGCTGTAGGGTAAAAAGGGCTTTAAGTGTAGGATTCTTCCTGAATAATGTGAGGATTGTGCAGAAATTATAAGGCCTGCTACCTGTTTCTTATCATTATGATATAAGCCTGCAAAGGCACTAGAGTCAACCACATCAAATGGCTTCCAATGAGATCTGTAGGGATGATGGATGTGCTCAGGCTTAAGTTTGGGGTGAAATATTGCCATGGCTGGACAGTGGAAGGTAGAGAACAGGAAGAAAATCTTAGGACTGAGGAAGTAGAATGATAGGAAGATGATACAGCTGTCTAGCACTGCAGTGCAAGCTTGTGAATAAATGGGTCAGGTACAGCTCACTGTTGTAGGGGCCAGTATGCAGTCAGGACTGTAGTGGGGTTTGGGTCATGGTGCCAAATACAGGTCACGTTAGGCCATTGCTAGGGACTGAGTGTGGCAATTCTATGGTTGAAATTAACAACCAAATAAGCAGAGTGTATGGAATTAATTTCACTCTGCAGGCTCTACAGAATGAATCTACAGGCACGCCTTCTTCTCAGACAACCTTTGCTGTGCAACATCCTTCATCCACTAGGGTGTTATCCTCTAGCCATTCACAGACCCTCAGCAAGGTTCACAGGGCTGAGGGCTGCTATCAGCACAGAAAAGTGGTTTATTGGTAGCTCTGGAATGCTGACTGCAGGTGAGGGTCTTAGCCAGAAACCTCTTCCTATCAAAGACATAATCACCAGCACATTGCACATTAGTAGAGAAGAGGGTATGGGAGAAGAGGGCACTGATTGTTGCACAATAAAAGCATCCAAAGCCCATGCCTGGATTTGTGTATCTCCCAGAGCACATGCTATGCACTGTGCAGGACATAAAGGAAGGATAAAGTAGAAGAGCAGGGTAGGGAGGTTGCCAGAAGGGAGACAGGGGAATGTTCTGGTACTTCTGGCTGAACCACATACAGGTACCCACAAATATGCCTACTTGTCTCTTGGCAGGAGGGGAGAACTCACAACCATCAGTCACAGGATGGTGACTGTCACCCAGCAGGACATGGACAGCCAAATAAACACCAGAGATGATATCCAGCCGAAAAAGAGATGGCCCAGCAGCAAGTCAGGCTACGAAGAATCAGAAAGAAAAATCAGACATTGATAGTCATGAAAAAAATCAGATAAACTGTTGGGAAAACATGGGGGCAGAGGGACTTTCCCCATGTTTGGTCATTTCTTCAGTGTATTTATGTACATTTTGGCAAAACACTCATTTTTAAAATCACTTATTTTCACATCAATAGGCTTAAGGCTGCTGAAAAACAAAGCTCTGGGCTGAAAAACTGTTCCAGTTCTCCATAGGAAACTGTCTCAAATATACCCAGAATTGGCAGTGTGATCTTTGCATCGGCAGAGAAAATACTGAGTCATGTTGTCAGCCCACACACATTTAACAAAAATAAAAGCAGACCAACGATTCAAAATTCTCCCACTCATCATTTAAAGAAAACAGAAGTCATTCAGTCATGCCTCATGCTTCAGAGACCTTTAGAAAACACCCAGTGCAGGGAACATTCGCCCACACCATGCCCACGCAGCGTTTCAAACCCACGATGTCATTTGCAACTTGTTCACTCCCAGGTCCGGGCACTGTTTGCTTCAGCATCCTCACAGGAAGTCGCCGAGACTTGAAAGGTTTCTGCTGAAAATGTGACACCATAGCTGGAGCCTCAGCCCTCCTGTGAGCAACGCTGAAATGATGTAACACAGCATGCCTGGCTTGAGTCCCTGGAGGAAGCAGGAAAGTGCCGTGCACTTCACGGCAGCACAAACTTAAGCTGCAGTTTGAATGAGAGGCTACTGTGCTCTTCCTTCAGGGGTTAATCTTGTATTGAACCATTGGCCCTGCTGTGCTGAGCTCCCCAGTCATTCATTTAAAAGGGAGGTTCTTGCTCAAACATCAAGACTGGGGGAATTACCTAGGAAGTCCTCCTCCTTTTAACTCTTCCCACAAAGTCCTCTGGCAAGGAAAAGCTGGTTTCTGCATTTCACCCAGCTGCTGGCAGCATCTCTTCCTCCTTCAGTTCTAAAAGCTGCTTGAAGTATTAGCAACTGAACCTGGGTGAGTGGCAGCCAGCCCGGCTCATGACGGAGGGGGAGACGTCACCACACAGAGCACGCACAGATGGAGTTACACAATCTCTGTGGTGTTGAAAGCCGCAGAGCTGGAAACTTGTCAGGAGCCCAAAGGCCAGAGCTAATTTGTATTTCCTATTGCACAGCATGATTTTAATCAGAGCGAAAAGCGCCCGGTTGTGTTTTATGTACCAAGCGTTATAAGCAGAGACAAGTTAACAGAGCAACTAGGGGCAGGACATGCTCTGAAGACAGCATAGAGGAGCATTAGATGGGGAATACACCCAATTTATCAGCACTTCCTCTATTCTTCAGAATGGCCATGGGCTATGAAGCAAGAGAATAGGAGGCAACTTTCATCAAAATTATGATTGCCCAATTCTCTTTACAAGAAGAAAAAAAAAGTAAAAAAAAAGTAAAAAAGACACCTGCAAAAACCTTAAAGACAAGCTTATTTTAAAAACCTCTTTCCAAAAGTTTTAGATATGTCACCAAGTAAAATATGACATTCAGGAAACCCATCTTACTTGCATGCAGTATTTGACAGCAGTCAAATCAAGGTGATCTCTAACAGAAGCTGCTTTGGCTTCAGCTGCAGATAAGGGTGTGCGAGTTCCTTGTTACAATTTAATTTCTGCCTGGTTGAGAGCAGACAGCACAAAGGACTAGCACAGCCCCCAAGCACCACTGTTCCCAGAACAGGCTCACCTCCAGCAGCCCTTTTCCATGCTGTGATGGCTGCAGAGCAGGAGTCGGGAGCCATTTGGTCACCTTGCCCCAGCTGGGCTCACAGCCATGCTCCCTCCCCAGCACACAGCCCTGGGACACACCTTTGTGTGCTGCCAGCGTGTGCCAGAGAGGGAATGGGGCACCAGGTTAATAGGACAGTAAATATGCCTTGACGTTTCTGGATTGGTTTGCTTTGTACTCCCAACAGATTTACTGGAAACTCAGAGGTGGGGTTTGCTGCTCAGGGAGTGCTATCATTGGAGAAAATCCTTCATTTCAGCCTTTCTCTCCTTATCCACTGGGAATAAATGCTCCTTTCCCCCTCGGTTCAGCTTTATTCCTTGACAGCTGAGAAAAAGAAAGAAAGGGAGACAAAAAAAAAATCAGACCTTGGACCTTTATTTTGCTCTAGAGAGCCAATGTCTGTTTCAGAGTGGGATAAGCTGCATGTCAGGGATATAAAAGGAAGGCTGTCAGACTAGCATATCTGTAGCTTCCTATATTCAGTCCCTGGACATTTTCCCCACTAGCTAGCCATTGCAGCCCCTAAAATCAGCATCCTCTCTGCTCTCATTCTCCTCCACATGCTCCCTTACCCCCTCCCCCACAGACATTTGTCCCCCAACTCAAACAGCTCCCCAAGGAGGTCAGGCACCACCTATGTTCAGGGAAGGGGAAAAGAGGAGAGCGAGTCAGCTGAATATGCAAACAATCCTATTTGCACCCCAGCATGTACAATCCAGTTCTTTGTCAGCATGATGGAGTGCACTCTGTCCAGTTTGTTTTCTTCTCTGGAATTATCATCCACACCCTTCCCACATGAGCATTATCAAATGCTGTACCTGTATCAGCCTTTTCAAGACAGGCTGACTGCTGCCTGCATAATACCTGTCCACCAGCTGCCTATTTGCTTTGTTTGAAAATTATAGCCAGTCATGAAGTGTAAAGTGACATCTGCAGCAGCCAAAAAAAAAAAAATAGGGAAAAAGTACCAAGGGTATTTTGCTGGTGTCACTAAGGCACTGGGTGGAAGTGGTTTTAGTTACACAAGCCCTCCTTGGACGCGGCCCTGCCCGGACACCCCACCTTGCACTCGGAGTGTTTGGGGAGCTGCCTGCTGCCCACTTGCCTTCTCCCGTGCTCAGCAGGGACACGCCTGGGGTACCAGACAGTCCCACAGCTCCCCGGCCTGGACAGACGGACACGCCGGGCGGGAAGGACGGCGGAGCTAAGGTGCGAAGCGCTTTTGGGGCTGTGTCAGCCGCCGGAGCAGCACGGCAGGGCCGCGGGCCTGGCAGACAATAGCTGTCTCCCTGCTCGCTCTCCCTGCCGGCCGCATCCGACGGAGGAGCCTCATGAATCAAGGCGAGCATCCAGCGACAGGCTGCAGAAATGCATTAATATGCGGCCGCCGCCGCACGCCGCCAGCCCCCTGCGCGGCGCGGCGCTCACCTGCCCGTCTCACCCCTGGCAGGCAGCGAGCGAACAAAGGGGCGGCCGGCAGCGCCTGCCCCCGCCGCCGAGGGAGGCCGCGGCTGCACACAAAGCCCGCTCGCCTGCCGCCATGGGTGTGAGGAGCGCTCCCGCTCGCCCTATTGTCTGCGCTCCTTTGTGCTCCTCCGGCCCCCCGGTCCCCAACCGCACGGGCAGGAATAGTGGGAGCAGGACAGACACGGCTTTGTTGGAGGGAGCCCTGGGATGCGGAAAGCTCCCTGGCCTGGCGCTGCCGTGCGTGCCCGGCTGGCTCACGGGCCCACGCTGCTCCTGCCACACGGGGCAGGTAAGGAGCAGGGCAGACAGACAGACAGACGGGGCACGGGTGTTTCTCCACGCACACGGGGCACTCGGCAGCCCCTTCTTGAGCATCTTCTTCTCCCTCCAGAGAGTGCCTTTGGGAGGTGGGGAATTGTCACCAAGTCCTGCAGAAGTGATGGTGAGGGCCTCCCTAACCCTCCACCACTGATGAAGAGCTGGTGCCGCTGGCTAGAAGGGGCAGTGAGGGAGCAGATCTGGGAGCACAGACCACCCATCACGCCACCTGTATCCCTCCCAGCCTTAGGAGCGGGACAGGCGCCTCTGCCAAGCCTCCAGTGCTTTGTCAAGCAGTAGCTGTGGCACGCCCTGTGCAAGCCATGTCTGTGGCTGCAGCGTTGCAGCCCCCCAAGTGCTGCAGGGCTGGTGGCAGGATCCAGATTGCCATGTCTCAGGGCAGAGCTGTAATTGCCGAGTGCTCCCAAGGGGTCAGTCCCCAGCTGCAACACACTGCTACCTCTCCTCCCACTGCACACTGGCATTGGAATGGCCAGGGCAGAGAGAAGGGGAAAGCCAGGGATGCTCTCCAGTGCAGGGAGCAGGGTGCCCTCGCGGTGCCCATGACACTGCCCAGAGGACACAGCGCTCCCTGGTCCCACGGCAGCTGTAGCACTGGATCAGTTCCAGCAAGAGAGCCCCAAAGAGGTCTGGCTCACCTGGGCTCAGCACTCTGCCTTGTGCAGTCCCTGCCCTGGCCACCCACAGCTGTCTTGCCCCTCTCCACTGGCACTGCTCACACAGCCAATCTTAGCCACGCACAGAAATACCTGCAAGGATCTGGGTGTCATTTGAACAATATGGCCAATGGAGCAAAGGCAAAGAAAGAGAGGAAAGGTCCAAACCTGAGGGACAGCACCTAGGACCACAAAGGAGCCCCAGCAGACTCCTGCTCCACAGTTGTGGCAGCAGTGCTCAGAGCTCTGGCACACAGAACAGGGTCCAGGTACAAGAACCAAGACATTTGCTGCAGGGATGCTGCTAGTGGAGCCTGAGAGTGTCCACAAGGAACAGGGATGGTGAGGAGGCAGCATGCAACTAAAAAGTCTCATTTCTCAGTCTTGTTCTGGGGAAACAGTTTCTGACATTTTCTGATTCTAAGGAGTGTCATTAAAGAGGAAGACTCTACCCAAAGTGCAGTTTCTCTTCCTATTTTTTCATTATATTTGGTATATTTTAAATAAATTATAAATCAATTCTTGAGAAAAACTTCTATGGCCACCAAGAGGGAGGCGTCTAGATAAGCTTTGGTCAGGAATACATTTTTCCTAAAGAAAACTCTAAAATTCCTACTTCAAAATAAAGGTAGAAACCTTGAATCTAAACAGCATTACTTTCTGCTTCACAGTGAAACCTCAGCAGATCTTGTAAAGTATATTTGTGCTTTACAAGCAAGATTCATACTAGGTTTGATGGACAAGAGATTCTCAGCAACATCTAAGCTGCAGAAGGAAGACAGTTGTTCCTAAAGCCACCAAATAAGACTCTGAGAGCAGATAAAGCAAAAAGCCAGATAGAAGAAAAAGGCCTTCATCTTCAAAAAGCCAGAGAAAGGGGAAAGACTGGGGGAAAGGGGAAATACCTGGGAAAGAAAGGGGAAAGAGCTGCTGGGCAGCAGGGTGGTGGCAGAGCTCCTGGCATCTCTCTGTGATCCCTCCCTGTTTCCCTAGGCAAAAAGGGACACAGCAGCTCTCTTCCCCCAATCCAGCACCAAGCTGCAGAGTGGCATTTCAGCAGCTGGAGAGCTGGCTGCTGCATCAGCCCAGAGCTGAGCTAATACAAGAGCCCTTGTGAAATCCAAGCTTGGAGGGGCTGCCTGAGTTAATGAAGCTCATGGGATTGGGATGAGGTGTAACAAGGTGCCTCTTACTGAAAAGCAGAGAACTTCCCCCGGGCTACCTTTGGCTCCTGCAGAGCATTCAGGTCAGTTTGTAACTTATTAACACCAGCACTCACGGGATCAAAGTTCAGCACGTGTTGAGTTGCTCTTCTGGAACAGCAGGCTTGAAAAGCATATTGTGCAGGTTTCCTAGGAATAAAAGAGACATGCAGAGAAATCATCCACTGCCCATCTGCTCAGAGGCAGCCACTGCACACCACCTGGGGTCATGAGACAGGCTTCCTTCACCACCTCGTGCCTGAGGAGCCAGCTCTGCTCAACTACTGCACCCCTCTCCTTCCTCCTCTTGTGACAAAACAGTTTTGCACCCAAGTGACGCCCAAAAGGGTCCCCAGGTTTAGGAGGAAATTCTCAGTCAAGAAGGCAGATTACACTGCAGGTTTTAAGTGTCTCCATCCCCTGCAGCTGGAATTGTACCTTAATCTAATTACACCTCCAGTGCTCCAACTTAAAGTGTTCAATAGATGATGTCACTTGAAAAATTAACCAAGTGGACAAGCAGAGATGGGTCGTGGAGTCAGTGTGGCAGCACAGAGTCCCATGAGAGCAACGGGGCTCTATCCCCCAGCACTGGGAGTTGTGCAGGGGGACTGCTGGGGTTCCCAAAACCAGCCTCTTGTCAGGCCATTAAGTCCACACAAGGCAGCTCACCTCCAAAAAATGCAGAGTTCCCAGGGCTAGTTTTCTATCTGCTGCTCCTGAGAGGCCTTTCCTTTGGAGGGAAAAGTGACCCTGGGAGATGTGGAGCATGGTCACCCCGCTGGATGCAGTGAGGGTGCACACAGAGCACCTGCAAAGCATCAAACCTGGGAGAGAAACATTGATGGATAAAGCTGAGTGCAGTCTTTCAAAGGTGTCACTGGGCAGGAGGCCATCAAAACCAAAATCAAATCAAGAGTTTCTGAGCAGGTGGCATGCTTTGAATCCTGCCTGGTCTGGGATCACCACTACTTACCCTGGTGTGTGTCTGTTGCAGTGATCAAGTTACCCAGCCAGAAGAGGTTACACAGCAATTACAAGTCCCTCCCAACCAGCAGAGCAACCAAAGATCCCCTACTACCCTCGTCTTCCCTGCAGGCTCACAAGTTACAGAGCCAAACAGGTTCCATTTGCTGTGCAGCTGCTGCCCAAACCAGTGTGGGTGACAGCGTGGGGCCTCATTGTCAACAGACAAGGCTGCACGGAATTGCAGGGTGATGCACAGGTGTGCTTGCTTGCTTATCCCAACCTGCAGATGTCCCAAGACATATAGTTCTGTTGTTTAAACAGGGTTTATGTCTATACTTGATAATGAACAGTATAATTGGATTATTCTTTGTAAATATCTATGCCCTGTGAAGGTCAGAATTAAAAACATCCAAGTAAAGTTCCTGGAAGCATTCTTAATTTTTAAGCATTTTGTCAGAACAATTGGTAATTTATCAACCACTTCTGGGATCAGTTGAGAACACACTGCTGCTGCTTGCTGTGACCCATAAAGGGCCACTATTTCAGCCTTATTAGAAATGAGATGTTCATTGCTGCTTGCAGGGTACCAGTGCCTAGTGCCAAACCAGCACAGACACATCACCTGTCATCTCTAATCAAAGACAGAGTCTGGTGGGAAGGAAGTTCAGAGATGATTCCTTTCTGTGTGCTATTACAAGGCATCACTAAACACTCCCCACACTTACAAATGGACATATGGTAGGAGAAATCATCCCTTCTCCCTCGTGTTTGCAGAAGCAAATACAACTGGAGAAAGGAACAAAGTTCCACTTCTGCAGCCACTTACCAGAAGAAATGGTGTATTTTGGCCACCAGGATCATCTGTTTTCCCTGCAAAGATGTATTAACATGGTCCTTGTTTCTCAGTGACTAAGGAGGAGGGAAGAGGAACCTTGACCACAAAGAGGAACTCAGTCTCTGGGAAAAAGGCAAAGAGGATGCTGTTAAACATTTCAGGAAACACTAGGGAAAGGATGGGGGCAGACAGAAGTTTTGATTTCCCCAAGAAAATAAACTGCCTATTCTAACTAGAGGAGAAATGGCTTGTGAGCCTTCTCTCCTGAGAAGTTTGACAGTAGTGAATGCTGCAAAGGGCTGCAGAGGAAGGAACACTCTTGACTGGATTAAGTTACAAGGTAAAAGTGACTCTTTTTTTTCCCCAGGGAGACTTAAACTGGACTTCATGTCCTTGGTGATGAGTATTTAAAACCATCCTGCTTGCATGAGAGCACAGGAGCTCCTGCCACTGGAGCACAGGCATTGCTTAGTCCAGGACCACCCCAGAACTGCCTGAGCAGCATCTTTGTGGGGGAAGTTAAATACTTCAGATTCCCTTTTCAACCAGGCTACTTATGCTTTGGATCTGGTTTTGTTAAAGCCTTCTTATTTTAATTAAGAAAGTACTTGTTGAAAAGCAGTACCCTGCCCCTTTGGTTACCATTAACATGTGTCTGCTGAGACCGCCAGCAAGCCTTTGAGATGCAGCAAGGCTGAACTCAGTAGTTCTCAAGGAGTTATAAAAACCTTTTAAATGTAGCCTGGGAGAATGATTATACTCTCAGCAAACTGAGGATACAAAACAACCCTGAGAAATTCAGCTTTTGGGTCAACAGCAGCCTCATGGTGCACAGGAACAGGAGTACAAAGCTCTGCCCTGGGCAGGAGTAACAACAGGCATCCACATGGGCTGGGAGCAGACTGGCCAAGTAATTGTCCAGTGAAAAAGGAGCTGGGAGTCACAGGCTTGCCAAGCAGTGTGTGAGTTAGCAGTGTGCTCTCACTGCAAACCCAAACTGCACAGCAGGCAGAGTCAGGAACAGCGTGGCCAGCAGGCCTTGGGGAGAGCATAATTCAGCATTGCTAGGGCTGCATCTGGAACAGAGCTGGAATAACACACTTCATGAACATTATGAATCCCAGAAAAGTGTTCATAGAACTCCTAGAATATATGTTCATTTTTATCATTAGAGGGGGAAAAAAACACACAAAACCCCCTCAAAAAACAAAGGAAAAACTCATAAGTTACTATTTCCCCCCAGTTCCCATGTCTTTACTCCCAGTTCCCATGTAAGTGGGAACTATACCACTATATAAGTGGGCCTATACCACCAAGTTTAGGATGTGTATCTGAGGAAGAAAAGTTTCCTTTCAAAGGAGAGTTTCTTGTAGGAAGAAGAGTTGAGAAAGGCTACTAAGCTCTCTGTTGTCCAGGTCACAAGACAGTGCTGTCAGCAGCCCTCCTGCCAGCAGAATATAAGGAGAGGACAGAAGGAAAAAAAGAAAAATAAAAACCACAGTTGACAACCCCTCCCTGCCCTCCTGCAACCCTACCAGCATTACAGCAAGATTCTTTTGAGACAGCAGTGTACTAGTAGTTGGTTTTCACAGGGTAAGGTGGAGAAGATCAGATAGGAGAAAATATGTCTGCAGTGGAATGGCCGTGCACTCTGTGATATCCTTTGAAGATATGCATTGCTTTTATCCACCAGGTGCCTGTCCCCAGTGCAAGCCCAGTAGGTAAACAGACACAGACAGTGTTTGTAGCAGGAAGCCAAACCAGAAAGGAATTTTATCCACCCAGAACAGGCCCCTGCCTGGGGCAGCTGGGAGACCTCTCCAGCAGTCAAACACTGACACCAGTGAAGGTCTCACCTGCTCACATACCTACTGCTTCTCTGCTCTTACTGGCAGAGGGCTGGTTTTCACCTCTAGAAACCAAGATACCTGTCTGCATTGACCAAAAATCAGTTTTCAACAACAATTTTTAAAGGCAACTGCTGCCCAACAGCACTGACAAGCATTTGGCTGGCCATGCTGACAATACTACAGATAATGCAGACGAGCCCCTTACTCAGCCCAGGGGGAACAGCCCTCAACTCCCCACTTGGGCACTTGCACACAGCCTACAAATCTCAGCTGTTGGACTGCTGCTCATGGATTATTATTCTCCCCTCCCTTCTTGCCTCTCATCCCTCCATGAGCCCACTGTCCCTCAAACACAGGGCAGATTTTTTTCTCTTCTCCACAAGACCTCCCAGGCACCGGAGGTGATGGACAGCAAGACAGCAGAGCCTAATCCCCACATGTTATGTGGTTTTTTTCATCCCATTGCCTTCCTTTTACAGCCTAAGTGTGAGAGACCCAGGCCAGACCTCAGCCTCCATCTGCAGCCTGGGATTATGATCTGAAGCATAATATTTCTTTATGAGCAAATTATCACCAAGACTTCAATGCGCTGTTGGCCTTTTAAAAAACTAAGTGTTTAGTATTTTTATTTCTTTCTGCTCTGCAGTTTATGGCTCCCATAAATCAGATGACAGGCTGTGCACAGAGGGCTGATCTGATCTGTGGGAACAGGGAAAAAGGCGGGAGAAGGGAGCACTGACAGAGCTGTTAACCAGGGGGGACCTCTGCACCCTGCTGTAAGCATCCCCATGGGGAAGGCAGGATGCTGCCCACCTGAGGCAATGCTCACAACCATGCCAGCTTCTTCTTCTCTGACAGAGTTCAGAATCCTCATTTTTTCTATGCCATACCACCTCCTTGCAAAAATTGAAACCCCAGTTCTCTCACTCACAGGAGCAGTGATAGATCCACTAGGATTCAGAAGGATGTCGGGACACACACAAGCAAAATGCTGACCCACTGCACTGGTACACCAACCCACACATCTGAAACAATCAAATCTGACCCAGTGTATTGCTGATCTAGAAGCCTTACCTTGTAGCAAATTAAGGATGCTGCCATGGTTAAAAGTCCATTGGAGGTTTCCAGAGATGGGAAGTTAGTGCTGAAGTCCCAGGTCTCACAAGTAAAAGACCAAATCCCTAAAGACATTTATTCACTCAGAGATGCACCCAAGGTCATGCTATGAAGCATTCCAGCAAGCAGCATTCAGGGAATCCTCCTCCCCACATCTATGTGCTTCCAAATACTGTTAAAATCTGAACTATAGTCAGCCTATGCCCTCTCAAGGAAATGACACACATTCCCACAGCCCTTCCCTTCTCCTGCTCCAGTGACTTGGATTCTGCTTCAGGACTGACACTTTCCTACATGCACAATGTGCATGCCTAACACTGCTGATCAGGCCATCATCTTCACAAGGACCTCACAAGACAAATAATATATAATATTGCCAGGACTTTGTTGGAATGGGGCTTACAGGGTTCTTCAGTGAGCCTGGGTTTATTGCTGGCTGTACTGCATTGCTCACTGATAAGAACTGGTCTTTCTTCCTCCGTGCTCAACGCTGCTTTGCTAGGGCAGACTTTGGGACTTTATCCTCTCGGCAGTGCTAGGTTTATGGTTGCACTTGATGATCTTAAAGGTCTTTTCCAACCCAAAAAATTCTGTGATACTAAGAGGAAGGGAATACAGGCAGCTTAATGCTCTTTCAAGTGAAGGTCTGTGGCAGGCAAGAGGACTTCTGCAAGGACAAGCCCTTCACTGGCTCATGTAAGAACAGAAGGTGATGGTGATGTAACTTCATGTGGCAATACTCCCTTGAACACTCCCAAAATGCCAATCCTTCCTTGGGTGTTTCCAAAGCAGTAGAAACCTTCACCAGGAATTTGAAGTCCCATGGATATTTTGCCTACTGAAGCAAAAATGGTGCTCTTCATTGCCCTGCCTGCAATCCAGTCTCGGTTGTGCCCTTGACCAGTAAGATTTTACCTGCTATAAAAGGCTGGATAAGAGGCAGGTATTTCTGCCATCCTCAGCAGGGAGCCACCCTCTCGATGAGTGCTGGCAGCTCTGGGCTGTGCATCCATCCATCCATCCATCCATCCATCCATCCATCTGGGTGCCCACAGTTGTCCATACAGCACTCAGTGTGACAACTGGAGCCAGGCTGTGACAGATAGAGCTCCCAGGTGGAGAGCACAGGTGAGTCAGGGCCCTGCCAGTGGCTCATCCCCATGGCTGGGGCTGTCACTGGGAGTAACAGCATTAGCAGAGAAAAGAGAAAGCTTCCAGGCTAGGAAGAAATAGAGAAAGTGAATAAGGAGTTCAGGCCATGTTTTTAAGCAAGTTTTATAAGTCTCAATAATAATGAGACTTGAGTATTTTTAAAAAAAAGGGGCAAAAGGAGTAGCAAGAACCTGCTCTCTCCCAGAAAACCATGTTGCTGCACAGAGCAATTCCCAAACACAGACACCAGTCTGGTCTTGCCAAAACCAGGCTGTAAAGCTAACTGCTGTGCTATTAAAGTGCCAGATAAGCCAGGCGACAGCACCAGCCAGACTCCTGGAGCTTCAGGACATTCTGGGATCACTCAGATGCATCAGCTTTTATCCTGAAAGTATCAGAATCTAGGAGTGTTAAGACCAGGATAAACATTATCAGTTGTTGTTCTGCCCTCCCACAGTGACTACAGCTGATCTGTTTGGACAGAAGGGCTGGGAGGAAGAAACAGCACCAATTTCAGAAAGCCATCTATTCTCTCCTTGAAAGAACTTTGGGGGAATGTAAAATTCACTGTGTGCCTCTGAAAGTCATGCAACTGCTTTCAGTGCTGAAAATGTGCATCTTGTTTCCAGTGCAATGTTTTCTCCAGTCATCATGTTGTGTCATGGCTGCTTCTCCATGGTGCTGGACACCTTGGCTCCAGGTGGGTGCTGGCAGCCTGGAGCTCCTCACCACCCCAGGTCACCTCCCCTTGCCACGGAGTGGAGTGGCACATTAGGACAGGGAAGGAAAAAAAACCAAAAAAGAAGTGAATTAAAGTCAATTAAAAGCACAGGAAAAATGCAGGGAGGCAGGTTGTCATTACCAGAGCTGGAATTTGGCCTGGGTGCCATGGAGATGAAACCTGGCAGATGGTTAAGGTGCACACAGGAAGCACGCACGCAGCACCTGACTATAGATTTATGACCAATTAATACAACAAAAGAGAAATCTTGACAAGGAAGCCAGAGACCTACAAAATGAGTAAGTGAACCATGAAAAGGGGTGGCTCTCCCATCCAAAAAAAAAAAAAAAAGCAGCTGAGTGTACAATACCTACAGAGCCGTGAATAAACTGAAGTTGGAACAGA